AAAAAAAAAAAAAAAAAAAAAAAAAAAAAAAAAAAATGTGTGGGACCATTAAGGACTTAAACTCTGGGTAAAGCTCTTGTGATGTACTGGAGAATGAAAAGTCTACAAAGTTTTATACCGATAAAAAAACTGTCAGCTTCTATCTAAAAGGACAATGCAGATAAGATTGAAGGGTATCCTAGCTTGCTTTTCATTGCTGTGATCAGTACCACAACCAAAAATACCTTGAGGGAGGAAAAGGTTTATTTGGCCTATAGCTTACAGACTATCATCAGGGAAAGCCAAAGAAGAAAGTCAAGCAGCAACCTGGAAGCAGGAACTGAAGCAGAAGCTGTGGGGGGAGGCCGCTTACTGGCTTGCTCCTTGTGGCTTAATTAGCCTGCTTTCTTATACAATCCAGGACTACTTGCCCAGGGTTGGCTCTACCCACGGTGGACTGTGGCCTCCCACATCAATCATTAATGATCAACATGTACCATAAACATGTCCACTGGACAATCTGATGGAGCCAATTCCTCATATGAGGTTCCCTCTTCCCAGGTGATTCTAGTTTGTGTCAAGTTGACAAAAACTGTCCAAGACAAAGATTTTATGAGCTCTTAACATTTTGCACATAAGAAACAGGCTGACAGCTCTGAGCTACAGACTTTGTTAACTTTGATGGTGATAATGTGATTGAACAGAGGATAAGCCAGTTTGCAGAGATCTAGCCACAGATATTCATAGACACTGATACCTAGTTGAGTTTGCTAAACTGGATTTCAAATTTTCGGATATTGGAAATTTGTTTTAGCCCCTCCCATTTTTCTCCCCTTGTAGATGTAACTCTAAACAGTCTAAATAAGAAACACAGAGCCAAATAAAGAGTTAAAAGCCCAAGAGGTCAGAGCACTAGTGAATAGCCTTTAGCTTACCAGCTGCTGTCCTCCTTCCCCTGAGAAAAGAGACCTACTTCCTGTGTGTCTGTATTTTTTATTGACTTTCTGTTCTGTCTTCTCATTGGTTCTAAACCCAATCACATGACTTCTTCGTTACTACCTGTCTATACAGACCTCCAGGTATCTAAAGTTGGTACTTGGATTAAAGATGTGTGTCACCAAGCTGCCTGTATCATTGAACACACAGACTCTGCCTGCCATGTGATGGGATTAAGGATGTGTGCTACCACTACCAGACTTCTACTAAATGGCTTGCTATTAGCTCTGACCCCTAGACAACTTTATTTATTAACATACAAATAAAATCACATTTCAGCACAAATAAAATATCACCATATTTTTATTTGGGAACACATGATTAGTTTGCTAGTTTTAAAGTGTCACAGGTGAAGATAAACTGTGCTTTGGGATAAATTGCACTGGAGCTTTAGAAGGTGAAGTTCAGGGTTGTAGAACTGAGATTGTGATGAGATACAAATTTTAGGTTATAAGGTAATAGATTGAGACATTTGGGACCTTGAGATGGCATCATTTTATTTTAAACCTGGAGATCTAGAGAGCAAACTGGTAAGCAGGTTAGCTTCTTTGAAATGTACTATTTGCTAATCCCTAGGTTCTGCAAATATAGTACCTTATGTGATCAATTTGTGTTTGCAGATGTGATTAATACTGCAATGAGACAGGTGGCCCAAGGGGCTTATTCTAATAAGGTTCTTAGAACTCTAGAGCCTTTCCCATTGAAAGGAAGAAAGATGTGAGGTCACATAAGGCAGCATGATCTGGCTGTTTATTGATGACTCTGATGTGCATTCTTAACTCATGCTGATGAGGATGTAGAGTAAAGAGGACACTCATCAATTGCTCATGGGAGTGTAAACTTATGCAGCCTCTGTAGAAATCAGTGTGGCAGTTCTTTAGGAAAATGTGAATCCATCTGCTCCAAGATACAGGTATACCACTTGTCTTAGAGTTTTTATTGCTATGAATAGACACCATTGTTGGGGGGATACCCCCCCCCATTTCTGCAGAGTGTTCTTGAGTGAGAGTAGTAGGAAATATTCAATAGAAGAATTTAAAGTGTGGAGATAAATAGATAGAAAATACAGGATAGCCTTGAGAGGGCCTGGAACCCTATTCCAATGGGCCCTGACAGTCTTTGCCCTAGAGTATTTATAGAAATGCCAAGGGGTGGAGCAAAAGACCTCCCCCCAGCACAGCCAAGTGCAGACCATCTCAGATACCTGTACTCAGGCCTGTGGTCCTCCAATCAACCTCTATGAAGACCTGCTTGGTAAAGCTACTAGGAACCTGAAAATGGGCTCCCATACACCATGACCATGGCAACTCTTCTAAAGGAAAACAACTGGGTTGGCTTGCTTAGAGTTCAGAGGTTCAGTCTGTTATTATGGTGGGACATGGTGGTGTGCAGACAGACATGGTGCTGGAGAAGTAGCTGAGAGTCGTACAGCTTAAAAGCAACAGGAAGTGGTCTAAAACACTGGACAGTATTTTGAACAAAAGAGACCCCATAGTGACACACTTCCTCCTACAAAGACACACCTAGTAGTTCCACTCCCTGTGTGGGCCATTTTCTTTCAAAGTAC